GTGTGTGTGTGTGTTGTTGTTGTTGTGTAGTAGTAGTATATATATATATAATATATATATATATATATATATATATATATATATATATATATATATGTGCAATGTCTTTATATATATATTCACACATATATATAGGTGTGTGTGTATAAGTGTATATATATGTGTGTGTGTGTGTTTTGTGTGTGCAGAGGATACACTAGTAGCTAATTTTGTGCGTAATTGCCCTGTTGTAGCTGTTTTGATAATCAGTTCCAAGGCATAATGTGATGCCATAGTTACACTCAAAGTGAAAGTTAGTTCATATCTTTATGGAATGCTAAGACAGACTTTTTTTTTACATTTGGTTTATTAGTTTTACAGATCACCGGCTTTATCGTTTGTATGCTTCTATCTTAGTCGGCATTGAATCAGGAGATGCCTGTCAGACTGTATCGGCGAAAAAAAAACTTAGTGCATGTAAAAATGCTCAGGGGACTATACTGAATACACTGATCAAAAATTAAGTTTTATTCAATTATTTTAGTGGGTATTCCTATGTAGGCTAATGTTTCGATGGCCGAATGTTCTACTAGGCATACTGGGACGCATTTGTTTGTATCACATCAGTTATGATAAAAGTATATGCTCGCCGCCACCACAAAACAGGAGGAAGAGGAAGGGTCGGTATACCTCACACTAGTCGTACCTGCTTACAATGAAGAAGACCGTATGCCAGCCATGCTGAAAGAAACTATAGAGTATCTAAGCAAGCGTCAGAAAAAGTACAAGTCGTTCACATACGAGTTTGTCATCGTTGACGACGGCAGCAAGGACAAAACATACGAGGTATGTGTCTTTCTCAATAGATTTCGGATGAGAGAGAAAACATATGAGGTTCGAATCATTTTGTCAGCATAGTACCGATCTGCTGTAAAGCTAAGGGCTTACGCCTATACACAATGAATAACACAGTTGCTCTGAGCTTCAGCGCAATTCCCTCAGAACTTTGTGCCTACTCTTGAGACGTATACCGCACCCTCATTTTCTTCTGTGCACATCTACGTCGTCATAACTCTACTATAACATCACAGCCATACTATGATGACAGTCTCGTCATTTGACACTTATGGCCAACTCTAGCTTGCCTAGCTTACTTAGACCGTTTAACCATCTCTGACCAACTCTTATGTTTCTTTGTTTCTTGCACTCTATACAGATTGCCATGAACGAATCTGAAAAGTATGGAGACGACGTTGTGAGGGTTCTCAAATTCGAGAAGAATCGAGGGAAAGGTGGTGCCGTGCGCCTGGTGAGTTGAGCTGCATTTGTGTGTGTGTGGCTTACATCTCCATCACCTTCAGTCGCTGACCAATTTGCGCATCACTTCCAAGCTCTCAAGCTGTCTTTAGTTTGTACATAGTTTTTGTCACCATCACTTCCAGACATTCAAGTATCTGAGCTGCTCGCCTATAGTGTATGTCTTATGTCTCCATCATATCCGAGCGCTTATGCGCCTGATCGCCTTTACACTATATGTGTTTATATCTGCAGCGCGCAAGTCGTGTAAGTATTGCAGCTGCGCTTATGACGGATATGGTTGATGTCTTGACCACTTTCAACTGTTGGAGTGCTTTAGTCATGCATGGTTTGTGTCCTCATCCTTCCGATCTTCTGAACAGGATACTCGAGAGGCAGAATATGGGTACCACTTCCTTCCCCCCCCCCCCCCAACACACACACTAGATTAATTTGTGATTATAGGGCGCTCTGGTCGTTAGATTTAAATACCTTCAAGCAAATGGCTTTTTTATTTATGCCTCATGATACGATATGTGCTGTCAGGGTATGGAAGTGGCGCGTGGCAAGTACATTCTAATGGTAGACGCCGATGCCGCCACAGATATCAATGACCTGGACCGAGTGGAAGATAAGCTTAAAGGTGGGTGAGGGTCACAAGAAAAAATCTGCGTTTATATACCGTGCGTCTCTGTCTGATGTACCTATCCATTTTTCTTTCTGTTGCTGTTTGTAGCGTTGGCGTAGACCTCGGGGTTGGACTTGTGTGCTCATGCTGAACCTTTAGTGAGTTTCTAACGGTGTTATCACGGATTTGTGTTATATATTCTCACAGTGGTTTATTTGCGTGTGCGCGTTCTTGCTAGGTGGTTGGTGTTGATAGGGGTGCTAATATAAAACTTGTGACTGCGTTTCTAGATTTTATATAATTAGGCATGATAGCCAAGTGTCGGTAGAGGAATCGGGTTGTTTCGAGGAGCGCGATTGATCGGTTCCCTCACTCTATATCATATCACCAACTATCCTGCATTAGTAGTACACACGCATCGTTATGCAATCGGAGCTGATCTTAATTTGATTTTCTGTGCAGAGATCGAACGAGACGGTTACGGCATTGTCGTAGGTAGCAGGGCCCATATGGCCGAGGATGAGAGTCCGGCTGCACAGGTATGTTTTTCAAGAAGATAGTTTACCTCGACCTCTATGTTAGAGCAAGTCAGCGGTGAACTTTTGTTGAGAGTGAATTCAGCTAGTCGATATGTGGGCGGAGCGCAATAAAAGTTGATGTCCCTGCGCCTCTCATGTTATTGCGAGTAGTGATGAAAAATTCTTTCAGAGTGGAAATGGCAAGTCGATATGTGGGTGAGGTAGCGTAGGGAGATTATTGTACATTTCCGTTTGTTCAACTGCTGTGAAATAGTGAGAATCACAAAATTTATAGGGCTTAGCTGATAAGGAAGTCCATACCGATGAAGTTATTGTATTCGAGGCGCATAGGTAAGTGTGGCATGAGTGCAGCTCTGAAACTCTCCACGTAATGTCGATCAATCTTGAATCCCCTCCGACTTAGAGTTTTGCACGCCTCATCGAGACATGGAGTGTTGCGGGCCTCATCGAGTATCCATGTGCGTGATGAAGTCGTACCGTGGGGTCTTTCTGACATTTGCTTCTGTGCCCTTCATACTTCATTTGTTATCTCGACAACTCGAAACCGTATACCAGGCGTACGCTCAAAAAAAAATACACATCGCAATGGTTCGATCGTTCATTTCATAGATGACATTCGCGGTGAATGTTTTTTTATGATTGGACATCGTCATTCAGTCCAGCATAACTGTACTCACTTTCTAGCCTTCTTACCTAAAACGTGATCATGCATTCTTAAATACTATTGCCTTGACTACGCCCTGCGTGAAGTACCATTTGCCTGCATACGCTAAACCTGTAACACCTTTGCCACTCCCAGCGGTCAGCCTTCCGTCGCTTTCTCCAGAAAGGCTTCCACTTCCTAGTACAGTTCCTCGGTGGTGTCAAGGGAATCCACGATACACAGTGCGGGTTCAAGCTGTTCACCCGCAAATCGGCAGCCGATGTGACCCGTGTGCTTCATTTGGAGCGTTGGTGTTTTGATGTGGAGGCTCTGTACATTGGACAGTGTCTGAATATGCCCCTGGCAGAGGTGTGTGGTCGTTTGGGGTTGTTTTTTTTTTGGTTCTTGAATGATTAGTACTGTCACCACAAGTGTGGATGTAGTCAGTATTGGGTATTCGCTTCTCACAGGGCCGCTGTAGGATGATGTTCGGTCTGTAGTATGGCTTTGAGGGTTATGTCTGAATGGGTGGTGTCTACCACCCGACTACAGATTAAAATCTGTAAGATAATATTCTGCAACGCGCCAGTATTCAGCTCGTATCTCGAATCTTAGAACAGCTGTACGGAGGACATCAGTTGCCAGTACAAGCCCCAAACACACTGTTATGTTCACGGATACACAATCACCCCACTGATTGCGCTCTAAATCTATGCACCAGGTCGCTGTCAATTGGCAAGAGATCGATGGGTCTAAACTCGATCCTACGCAGGCTATGATTGAGATGTTCAAGGACTTGGTGACAATCAAAACATACTACACTCTGGGCATCTGGTCCATCCCAAAAGAGACCCTCGCCCATAAGCGCAAAGTAGAATAGTCCCAAGTATCAATAGCATATATTAACCATAGAATACGCAAGGAATGTGGCACTTCGATCCCTCAATCGTGCGCGCACTTATTAGTTATAAATCTAAAAGAGGGTGAATTAAAGTCATGTTTCGGCCACGTATAAATATCCCCGTGTACGCTTCCACAGTAACAATTACGCGCCATCGGGCTTTCACCCCTTAATATTGAGGGCTTCGAGCGTACTGCCCGCTATACGCTTGCTGATGCGCATGCAAGCCATTTCTATCCGCATGTCCTCTATCAAGAGTACGGTCTAGTACCTTGGAACCAGGCCTAAAGGTTGTTTGCTCCAATGCTGTCCATCGAAAAAAACACAATTTCCACTGCCTCAGTGATTTTGAGATGCAAGAGATTGTCATAGTTCGAGACCTGATGTGAAGTTCTCTTCTCATTCTTCATGTTCTCCTTTATCGTCACACCGATATTAAATATCAGCGCACCTCCTTCTATTCACATGCCACTACTACTGCCCTCGTACGTTGGCTCCAGGGCTTCTGCATCTCGCTTAGCCTTGAGAGGGTTCATGTATTCTTTATATCTTTTTCTGGCCTCCTTCTGCTCTGCTTTACTCAATCGCCTGCCATCGGTACCGTACTTCCAGTGCCCGCTTTGATAATCGGCTCCGGTAGTTTCTCGTTCAATAAACTCGAACCACCGCACATAATGATAGTGACCACCGTGTTGACCTTGAATCCATTGTTTAGTTTGACACTGCGATAGAAGAATAACGTGGATAAGGACAAAAGACAACTGCAGGACAATTCTCGATGGGAGTCCTATGAGGGCTTGTAGGCTCGTACACGGGTAGATAACAACCAGCAAGATAAACTAGAAAGTTCAACTACGTACCAGGTGGACGCTAATGTTTGCTTGTGTGAAGGGGAAGAGTACTTCACAAGGAAGGGATTCCCAAATATCTGCAGATTTCCAGCTGTGGAACATTTTCTTGCAATGCTCCAGTACAGCCTCCAAGAAGACATCAAACTGCGGTCGCAGATTTCTGCGGTCCAGCATCGCAGCCAAATGGTCAGACGGCGCTTTCCCTAAGGGCAGATAACGATATATGGATTTTAGAAAGCCTGCCCTGATGAACATTTCATAAGATAGAGAGGACTCCACGGATATCAGCAGTCATAATTGGGTTTGTAGAAGGCCGCAATTGAATCGCTCCTGTGGGAGGGATTATATGAAGTCCTCTTTCTCAAAAAATCACGCGCCAGCATGCACGAATTGGCAATCCCCCAGCTAGTAAACTAGCGCTTATACCCACAAAATAGGTTCGGCACATTGAATCGTCGTTCTCGAATTCATCACTTACGATGAGGTGGATTGATTGTACAAGCAGATGCAAAGGTGCACCACAGTGTGCGCATCCGCAAAAATTGTTGTACTCGCACACACACTTTAGTTCAGCAGAAGGTCGTGGTGTTAACATACTTCGAATGCGTGACGCGAACCCGTTGCACTTCATAGCTGTGACCCCCAAAGGTAGATACTTCTTCTTCCCTATTTTATATCTTAAACATTTAAACACAGCCAGTCAACACTTTCTCTCAAAAACAACTCCACACTACAACAGCGTAGTAAACTGCACATTTAAACGAGAGTGCAAACCAAAAAAAGGCATGTACATATATACTTATGTATATTCATGTATACATTTGTATATCTATAAATATGAATATATATATA